GTAAAGGGCTTCTTTTTGAGATAGTACAGTACATACACTGTGCATGAATTTCAGAAAACAAAATAAATTTAAAACCAGCTTGGTTTATACATTAGTAGGTGATTTAATGCCAGTTAAATACACTCCATAATACAGATTGATGTTACAATGACCTTATTTATTGTTTAATTGTACAAATTCACAAAATGTACAGCATTCATTTTGAAAAGAAACACCCTCCTCCCCTATTTACTTTGCAAATTGTAGTCTCGAAAGAAGCCTATCCTAAAAAGCAGCCCATTTCGAAAAGAAGCCCATCAAAAGTTTGCAAAAATGGAGAAGGGGCTTCAATTCGAAGCTTTACGGTATATAAAACAGTTCTCGAATAATCGTAACAAGCATAGCTGATCAACGAAAAGTTCTTTTATTTCAGTTGTATGAAAAAAGGGTGTCTCTGGCAGGATTCCAAACTGCGAATCTCGCTATCAAGAAGAGTATCATACCATTAGGCCACGGAGACCTAAACGATGTACAGATCTAACCCGTATTCTGGTAAATTTGAAACTCCTTTTTTATCTTATACTTACAATTTCTATTTTAGTGACGTTATACAGGCCGCACCGCAAATTTCCAATACTGAAATTCATTAAAATCATAATAATGATAGTGAACAAAGTCCCTGAAGCTTATATTGCAAATGATGTATCATAGATTGTACCTGTTGTTCTTACGTGAGTGATTACCTAAATGTTAACGTCTAGTCATTAACAGAGAACATTCGGAAGATCCGCACAATGTTCGATGAAACAATATCGATGACCAAAGGCAAATGCATTCAACGCGAATACGGCGAATAAACTGACCTTGGAAAACGTCATCATATTAGCAGCGCGTCATCAAATCTGTTAGAGCGTCATGCATTTATTATTTTCCAGAATAAAGACGTTCGTGTATCAATTTCAATGCACCCGAGCTCAATGAAAAGCCGTAGCCGTAATGGATTGAGAAAAAGTTCAACAACATAATTAGAAAAGGAATACATATACAGTATCTAGAAGAGATGACCCACATACTCCCTGTTCCATTAGTGTCGCCAATTGACCAATGTTTTCAATGCTATCAATTATCTAGCTTTTGTCTACCCCGTCATTAGTCTGCCATATTAAACGTAGACATTGTGCATTGTGCATCCTGTGCAATTTAATTTTAATTTCCTTGATTCTTGATATTTTTTATGTCGTTGATGACAAAAAAATGTAAAAAAATAACAAAAAGAGAAAGAAATAAAGGTGGGTGAAATCCCCACAAAAGAGAAAACAAAAAAACAAAAAAACGTAGACATTGGGTTGTTTTTCAGAATGTGGAACGTTTTCATAATTTTTTTTTTCACTCTTTTCACTCCTCTTCCTGTTTCATACCTAGGTGCATACAACAGTCAATGCTGCAGACCTCTAATCTAGATGTGACTTGGAAACTGGGGATCTGCCTGCCGAGTTATGGTTGGACTCCAGGAATACCCAGTTGCTTCCCATCAATCGATCGAAACATTGTGAATTTACATTTATTGAAATAGCCTCCACTCGGATGGATGAGCTTTCTAAGATTGCTAGGCCTTAAAATATCTTCATTTCTGAATTGTAAGAATCACATTAAAAGCATAGAGAAAAACACTTTCAAAGAAGGTTAGATGCTTGAAGTGGGCCAGCATATTTCTTACACATGAGGTAGTACTTCATGTGTACAAATCCACCATTAGATATTAGTACTGTTCCAATTCTGGTCTGAAGTTCCCGCCTGTCATCTTTCTCTTCTTGATAAAATCCAACGTCGAGTTATCAATCTGATTGGAATACAGCTTGGTTCTATTTTGAAACCTTTGGCTCATCGGCGCAATTTCGTCGTTCGGCTTCACTTTTGAATATTTTTTGCCAGTTGATTGGTTTCGAATTTCCTTTCATCTTACGAATTTTGAATGAATTGTCAACCGATTTTCTTTTCAACTACTCCTAACCCCTATACTGCGAGTGGCTGTTGCCCATGTCTGGGGCGACTGAACAATCTGGGGCGATTGCTTTAAACTTTGAACCACAGAGATATGATACTTTCATCTTCCATCTTCAAAGAACCACGTGCTTACAAGCAGAGTTCTGTGCTTTGGGTTTAACAGGAACTTGACATTAACATTTTTGCAAGAACTAGTTACGATAAATGGAAAATGACGCAAGAGCCATCACCTGATTAGATATTCTCGCAAGATTTTCACCCAGATTTCAAGGCGATAAATAACCACAGTTTGCCACCCACGGCCGTAAGAACCCCGAATTATTTTGTATTACGCTATAACTTAGCCTACATCTAACACATAGTTTGAACTCGGTTCTAAAGCCGAACTAAGGCATTACTTCACGGAGAATAACATTTAAAGTTCGGAGAATTAATTATTATTATTATTGTTATCATTATTATATTGACGCGAGGTCTGTCATGAGCTAAATAAATTGAACAAAAATTAATTCCATATTTGAATAGTTTAATTTGTAAATGTTTGAAGTTACCATTAAAAAATTAAATGAGAATAAATTTTTCCCGTTAGTTAACAGAAAGATAAATACCCTTCCTGTATTCCTAAATTATGGGCTAATGTTCCTGATGACCCTAAAAAATAAATTTACATTGAATAGTTTTAAATATCATTTTAAGAAATCTTTTGTCTCGGTGTATGGTAATTAATTAATTAATTATCTTTTTTTCTTTTCTTTTCTGTGGCAGTGAACATCTCAATCGGTATCTCTGACATTACAAATGAAGTGATGTGATATGCGCCGCAAGATATTACAGAGTTCATTAGCAGATTTCTGACTAATGCCAACACACTCCTGAAATCGCGCAGTTTCAGATATGGTGCGCGGCCGTGCAACATTTTTAAATGGGAAAGCAGCCATTGATGTGTTGAACAAGATCAAGAACATAGAACTGTACTACTGAATCCAGTTAAGTATGTGCGTAACCAGTTACTGTTATCAAGTGAAATAATTTTGAAGAACTAAACTTTAAAAAAAAAACACACAATGCAGAGAATACGGTATTATTCCAAAATATTAAGTCAAAAGATGAAGGATAAGATGAGGATTATCGTTAAAAACAAGTATCTTAAAATAAGGATTGATTATAAAGTTCATATAATAAAACACGTTCAAAATAATCTTGGTATCATTGATTTAAATAAAAATATATACTGTACATCTGTTTATTGCATTCAATATATTTTGGACAAAAATTGTTTGAAAACACAAATACATATTAAACTATTGGTGATCACTGTCACTTGGAAGGCTGTTTTGAATTTAAAACGGGTCTTATAATTTTACAGGTC